ATTGGATTGTTGTAAATCTTTGAATTATAAATAGATAACAGATTGGTATTACCTGGCATTATTTTTAAATTTTGGTCTTTCAAAAAAAAGTAGGAATTAAATTTTAAAATTGGGGCCTAAATGCACTTAACCACACACACAAGCATATTGCACACTTTTGCCCCCCCCCCTCTTGATTTCCAAACCCACCATTGAAAAAGTACAAGTGCAAACACTTCTACAGAAATGGCATTGGCCTGCAATGATAAAGCAGCATGTCTTAAAACATATCAGTTATATTTCCCTCTAAATTTGGTTATATTTTGAATCTTTTCATTCTTATCATGGCTCATCATTGTTAACAGAGCATGTGTACAAAACAACTAAACAAGAAAGCAGTTAATTGTTTTCTGTAAACCTGCCAACAATACTTAAAATAACAAAACAGCTATTTCTTGAAAAGGTCACGTGTAGCACACTTCAGGTGCAAAATGGCTGATTACACAGAAAACTAATGAGAACTTAAGTTTTAGTGAGTATTGACTTACTTTGAGCTAAAGATTTATTGAGGGTGAATGCTCTCAATATATAAGATTATCTTCCTAATATTTAAGCAAGTGTGTTCTGCTTCCACTTGATGTTTTAAAAATAGGCTTGCATCATCCCATATGTAAATCAATGCAATCACTTGAAAATTAGACAAATTATGAAAAAATTACTTTGTTGGCAACTTTGAACAGAAAATACACATACAATAAAATAAGAATTTTAGTGCCGGTGAGGAAACTAGGTATATATACACCCAAAATATGGATATATATCACATATGGGAGATAATCAATGATTTTTACAGTAGGCCTACATGTGAAGTAAATGTATAACAATGTTGGAGATTACATATGATATAATGAGTATAGATGAAACGATTATAAATGTTGATGGTTCTATTGATCAAAGTTTATTTGTATTCTACCCTAAACATAGAAATTACAAACTTGCCCTTAAGTTCTGACACTAGCAATCTTTCACAAACAAAATGTAATCTAGGGTATGTACATACAAAAACTTCTACTGTCCAAAAGTTCCTCAGTGTGCTTTCTATTAGAGTCTATTAGTTCAAGCACTTCCTTAAAATCATGGCATTCAATGTTCAACTCTTAACTGTAACACTATCTAGCACTACATGTTCATAATATTGAGCACTACATGTTAACAATATCTAGCACTTCATGTTAACCATATCTAGCACTACATGTTACATCATATTCATAAGCTGGAATAACATATTCAGGACCAGGTATAACATCATGTTTATCAAAGCAGTGATGCCATAATGTTGCAGCATTAACATTATTATAACATCACCCTGTAATTGCAAATCATGGTATCAAACCAATCTAGAGACAGCTATATAAATATAACCAATTGACTAGAGGGTAAATGTTGCAATTACTATGACAACAAGTATATATGGTTATGAACACAGTACATATACTCTTATAGAGTGAGAGTTGCTTATTTGTAAATAAATTTGCTTTTAAAAAAGCTGTTCTAATGTAATTTCAATATAATTTACATACCATGTATAGGGTGAAAAAAGGAGAACACATGTATTTAATTCAAATATTTGTATGTTGTTTCGGGTCACCTTGTATTTCAAATATTAGACAATAGCAAAAGAGGATATAGAAAGCCCATCAAACATCATATAATACCAATACATAAATAATTTGGGTTTACTTGTAACATAATTATCTCATTAATTCTCTTAACTAAATATCAGGAAAAGGACTACAGTAAAACCTGTCTAATCCAAACGTCACAGGGACAAGCCAAAATGTTCATATTCCTAGATGGTCAATGTTCACGATTTTTAAAATGGAAGCCTATGCCAGATTAAAATAAATATGACTGACTAAAAGCGTTCAAATTGAGAGGTGTTCAGATTAGAGAGGTGTTTGGATATACAGGTTTTACTGCATATGTATTTTCTCATGAAATGATATAACAATAAGATACCCTAGCATGGGTTTATTTCTCTCTTACTGAAGGTGACATTGTGGGACACAATTTCATGGTTTAGCTATATGTCAAGCCCATAGGGAGAATTAGTAGTTATAATGGTGTATTTATACGTGAACGTATCTCAAGACTGTAATCAAACAGAATGTATCCCCTATAAATAATCATCCCCTACCATGCTTGTGTCAAAGTGACTTTGTTGAAACATTGGGTGAACAGAAAAAGGAACAAATCAAATTGTTTCAGGGGTGATTCATCATGCACGGTTTGTCTATACCATCCTCTCAACAGGCAAAGAGGAGCTAAATTATTCATTGAGGCTAATCAACTTATTTCCATATTATCAAGTTTCCTAAATGCATAAAGCTCTCGCATGTCAAGTCTCACTGGGATAGCGTTTTTGCCTATTAAAGATTCATTCACGCCCCATCTCATTCATCATTTAGTGTTATGGCAAATTACATCACAACTTATCATATTCGAAACAAACGGGACAACAAGGAAATAATAAAATTTTAAGTATAATGTTCCCTAAAGCCCCTCTATCAAGCTTCAACATCCTTGAAACAATTCTAATTTAATCACAAGCTGTTATTGTAACATTACTGTGGGCTATTGCCAGATGTCAAGGAAACATATGAAACAAGTCTAACTACAAAGCTCTTGTGACTCCCTAAGTACGTACCTCCCACAAGTGCAGGGCCATAGCCAGCTTTTGCCAAGGGGGTTCACTTTTCAAAAAATTCCAGAGAGGATTCACATTAAGCAACTTTGGCCCAAAATTGCTTGTGCTCGGAATGGTGAAAAAATGCATGAAATAGGTTTTGGCTAGGGTGGGTTCACTCAAACACCCACTCCACTACCTGGCTCCGGCCCTATGCTGTCAGAGAATTGAAGCAAGACTAACATGGAACTAATGTCCCTCTTCTTACAGGTCTAACCAAGTAGAAACATCAGGTTCTATTATATGACGTGGATTGCATCCTGATCAGCCTCAATCTGGTGAATCTGTGACTGGACAGCATTTGAAAGCTAATCTATATGCGGAGAAGGTTGATGGATGAGCAATGTAATACCCGTGGAACTGAATCTGATTAGAAACACGAAGCATTCTGGCTAAATTAGCCATGTGACTATACTCAAGAGGTGCATCCAAGTCAGACAGTAAAACAGGAATTGTGGGTGGATTAAAACAACAGTTCACAAATAGATAACCGCAAAAACGTCACAGCCAGAGAGTTTTAATCATCATCAAAACACAATCAAATCTCTTGCAAACATCATCAGTGAAGTTAGCATAATCTGAACAGATAGCTCATCTACATGTTTACCATATCACAACTTCATATTTTCTATACAGTGAAACTATACATGGGAATTCAGAATCTGTCGCGTCCAATTCTATTGATTTAATAGATCTAGCCAGCAGGTTTCATCAGATGACATGTAGTGTTTTCACCGTACTATATACAAATCACATATTGGAAAAATTACTTCGGTATCTAGATAAAGCTGCAGAGGCCATTGAGCTGTTATAATTAGTAATTTTAGCAAGGAAGACTACTGACAATATACCCATGATGCAAACTGGATGATAACATGAAGTGACCACTCATAAAATCAATCTAAGTTGCACACTCATCAACATCTGTTCATACCACTCAACTGTACACATCTATGGAGAATATAAGCAGGTAGGAGTGTCTATCCTTCAATGTTTGTACTATGTACATACAGAGTTACATACAAGCAGAGATAGACCTGTGGTTTTGCTGAGATATACAAGCTCTGGTGGCTTCAATAAGTAAAGTATCACTAGCCTAACACATGCAGTATCTACAGGGAGGCAAGATCCCACAGGAGTAGAGTATAGCAATAGAGATTGAATTGCTAGATGGGTCACTGCCTCAGGAACAATCAACATCTTAACACATTTCTTCTTACAGCTATTACATATAATTATAACTTATGAACAGTACCATTTATATTTCTATTAGGATATAGCGGAGGTTTATTCAGTATGCAGATTGCTCATTACTAGCAGAACAGGATATATCATGAGAATTAGCTATTGAGTGATTTTCGTTTCAATCTGAGTGCTTTCGACATTTGAGGAAAAAATATAGCTCAAAATACCAAATAAAATGTGAAGTAATTTTACAAGTCGGAAAGTTTACTGTTGAATGCCTTATCTATATTGAAGAAAATGTCACAAAGGACCCAAATATAAACACATTAGGAGAGATGACATATATTATGTGTGGATTAACTTATTGACGTAAGTTTATTCCCGATGGTGGTTTATATTGGAATTCTATGCAAAAGCAAGGATACAAGAGCATTAAACTAGATTTACTGGTGACATAGCGATCATTAAGCGAGCTTGGATCTAAAGTACATGTTTGCATACTAATTCAGAAATATCCGATGGAGAGACGGAAAAGCAAGGTGAAAGTAAATTTACATGAACAGAAAAAGTTAATATTAGCGTGTTATAAGAACTAATCGCACATAGGCATTGACTCAGTCAATAATTTGTTAGAGAAGATAAAAGAAACTAAGCATTATACAAAAATCCAATTTTCTGAGTGACTAGTGCAGGAATTCAACTCTGCTCTGAGATACATAGAAACAAACCATGGTTAGGTTAATAACAGTAAATAAATACAGCAATGGTGCTACAGTGACTAAGCAAGACGTCATATTAACCCATAGGAATGCCCTAACCACTGCAATGCAATGATAATATAGAGCAGCTCACTTTTACTATAGATAACATCTCATCCTAGAAGTAGAGAGTTAGAATTGAGAAGTAGGTACTTCAACTAGGTATAATGTATGCAGCATGAATAGTGGATACTTAGAATCTAGCTATATTCGAATATTTGGATTTCTACTGCTTCATTTGACGATGTGTTTCTCATACGAGAACTCGCTTCATCAAGAAGTTGGTGGACAAAATGATACTAACACTGTTCGAATTGGTTTCCTCCTAACAAATATTGAGAAAATCGAGGAGGACTCATATTTAAGAGTCTGTAGGAACTTTAGTGAACTTGAAGCATCCCAAAAAGAGGCTAATGTAACCTATAATATGACAGTTATAAGCTCTCACCCTCGACTTGCTGTGCCAATGACACAAATTCCAGAAAAACCTAAGAAACGACTTAAGAAAGGACAAATAAAAGAAAAACTTCCACCTCCAGTTATATCATTCAACATATACACAGCCAATCAGAACTGTTTCTTCATTAAAGGTCTTCATGTGGGAAGGGCCCGCATGATGGTACATATCCGTAAAATTACACCCCCTGAGCGAGACCCAAACTCGGGGGAAAAGGACATTATCCTATCTTATGAATACAAAGTATTGATCATAAGGAAAAGACGTTGGGTGGATATGATATTTGATTGTGTTATGGCGCTGGTTGCGATACTAACAGCATTTAGCCTGGGCCTGTCAACTGAACAGGAGGTGTTGAAGATGCAGTGTAAGAAGCCAGCACCAATCATCATAGCATTTGTCAGTCAGTTTCTCATTATGCCACTGGTAAGTAAAATTGGGACCAAGAGGGGAAATGCCTCAGAATTCATAGATGACTCTCCATATAAAGATAAATCTTTAAAGATGCATCTTGATATAGAGATAGGTCCATCTATGAACTCTGGGATATATCCTCCTCTTTTTGTCAAGCAAGCAAATATTCTGATAACAGGCAAAATGATGAAAAACACCAAAGCAAAATCCTTAACATTTTTAATTTTGACATGGAGATTATTGCAAAATTCCTCAAAACAATTGTTAATTTTAGCAAAAGCAACAAGAATTGTTCTCCTGTTGCCTATAAAGCCCCTCCATAGGATTTGGCATAAGCACTGGTCTAAGCCATGGGACCATGGGACAATGACCTTTTTCTAGCACCAACTTTAGGGATATAAGGGGATAACAAGACAATATGCTCTATCATTCTATGTTTTACCTTTGACATATCCAAACTGCTTATAACTGTTAGCAAGTTTATAATATAGTATCGTTACAAAGCCTGTCATAGGTAACGCTCAACCACAAAATATAAACTTTACATCTCAATTACCCAGATGCGAGTAGGTAGTTACCAGTTTCACCACCAGGCGGCTGATTCGGGTTAGTTAACATGGCAGGTATATAAGAAAGTTACCTCAAACCTGAATATTATCAGTTTAAGTTGATTAATTTTCATATAATCTCTGTGTATCTCATGATTATACAAACGGATATAAAAAAGAATATTAGCTGCCCAACACAAGAAAAAAATATTTTTCTTTTTTAGGATTTTGTAACACGGTCTCTATGGGGAATCTCCCCAACCTAGAAGTCACATTTTCAAAGACGATTGAATTTTCAAAGTTGGTAAATACTTTTTTAAACCACATTTCTAGATGCAATTTTACATGTAATCTTCAAATATGATATCCCTTTAACTAAAATTTGAGTAAATCAAGACTAACATCCGTTATTTCATAAGCACATATATACATGTATGGGATCTCTCTCAAAACATATTCATAAAAACTTAAAACTAATAGGTCCATTCATATTACAGTCGATAGAGCAAACCATGGAAATTCAAATTAAACAGATGAGCAATAACTAAACTATGATTACCAAGTATATGAGTTACATATCAGCAACAGAAGAATCTCCAAGTCAGATAGATAACTTGCACCTGCCTTATCTTATCATAACCCTGGTAAACCTAATTGGAAATATACATCTAGGGAGAGGAACCCATCAATCCAAGTCTGTTACATCTTATATATGTTTCTTTATATTAAAATAAGAATGTTTAATTAGTGCGGGGGGGGGTAAACATTTACTGGACCTATGTTGTATATATTCAACATGCAAATTACTATTTTTATCATAAACACAAAGATATAAGACTCTTAGACATACTGTTCTACCTGTTTTCTGTCATTAATGAAATACCTTGATGGATCAACATGCCTTATGCCAACCCTCCGGGGACTATTGACTGTGACAATCTATCCAATTTCCTACCCTCTAGGAAGATGCAGGTTTTTCATATCGGAAAATATGAAATCCGAGAAGACCTTTTTCTATGAAGTATGGACTATTTGGTCAGGTTCAGTTTGAATCAATATAATATGCAGCATGATATTGTCTCTTTAAATGTCAGTTGAATTAAAACTGCTCCTTTGAATCAATGTCTGATGTGTAACTGAGACAACAACAACTACCCATCAATACTCTACACGTGTCACAATCATTAAAGTGGCAGTCAAACATACAGATAGAAAAATGTTTTAAGCAATATTAACAAAAAACATTCCCTATGTTTGCCTAATATATATCTTTTAATATATGAAAGATATGGAAGACTAAGGGGCGGGGTCAAAATATCGATGTTCATATGGAGACGAAAGTACTTTCGTGAGGGGGGGAGGGGGTTTTTGGGCACTTTCGTTGACCAAAAAAACATCGATAATTCGGATCTGATATACAAAAAATAATTGGACTTACCCACTTTTTCTGGCGCTATGTTCTGATAAAAAGGCTTGTTTTCAATAGTTCGTGAGCTTTTTTGTGTGATAGGTCCAAAATATCGGTAGATAAAGACGATAATTCGATCATTTTTCAAATAAATTCCGTACTTTTCCCTCCTCCTTTTGAAGAGTTCAATGCAGTTAAATTGCGAATGTGTGTAACATGTTCATCAATGTAATCACGGGTTCCAAATCATTTGACAGTCACTGAAAATCAATGTTTTTTTGAAGTGACCTAAGCTTTCGTCTAGAGGGGGGGTGGGGGGGTTGTTGTCCAAACGAAATTACTTTCGTCTCCATTTGAACATTGATATTTTGACCCCGCCCCTAAGGTCATCATTTATTTTAATAATCAATGAAATTTATCCACTTTTCCGATGATTATCAGTATTATCAAGTAGTTGTCAGTTTCACATCAGATATTGATTCAAAAGTGCAGTTTTTTCATTATCAAAATTAGATTTCAAATGATGTCATACTAAGTATATTTTTGAATCATCTATCACTTTGACTTTACCTCTCTGCCTTCAAATATTAGAGACATTTCATAACTAAAATCGCATAATTCTCCTTATATGCTCTCTTATATGCACACTACATCGTCACTACTCGCATGTGTATTTTTCCACCAATAAGAGTCATTTCCTTATAGAACATCCTTTACAATTGAAGATTTACTTATCTATTTCAGACACATTTCTTGGTCATAAATCACTGGCATAATTTTATATTATCTGTTCCACAATATGCAGAAGGAATCTAAATAAAAGAAGTCATTTTTGAAGTAGCTACCTCCTGCCAAAACTACAATTGAACTGATCTGGAGAGTTCTCATCTTACATGATTAAAAATGCAATATCTACTTACAGCACATGTAAATAATTTTAATTATAAATATAAATTCTATTTAAAAGTATACAAAAATCTCTCTTTTATAATGCACAAGCACATACAACATATGAAGGATGACATTTACAAAGCAACATAATCTGAATAAGAAAACATTGTGAACATACATCAGTGACATCACCAATGTACCCTCACGGTATTATGTTTGTTTAACAGAATTTGCTCTCACCAATGAATACCCATGTTTATGTTAAATAACAGGGAGTGGTATAAATCACACAACACAGTCAGTATGCTTTATTTTAGTCTTTACCCCCAATGTTTGTTTAGTCGCTGGAGAAACAAAGGCAATGTATCGAATGTATGTAATCCCTCCAGATGATATAGTTGAAGAACTAAGAGTGACGGAAATAATTTTAATGGATCAATACCTGAGTTAACAATTTTGTTTATAGACATGCTGCTTCAGAGTTAATGTAGATACAGACAGCTGATTAATCGTATATTAAAATACCTGTAATTTTAAGCTTAAAGGGACTAGACCTGTAACCTTCTATCAAAGTTTTAAGGGACTAGACATGCAACCTTACCAGTATCTATCACAGCTTAAATGAACAAGACCTGTAACTAGTATCAATTTAACATTAAAGGGACGAGACCAATGACCATCTATCACAGCTTAAAGGGACTAGATCTGTAACCATGTATCAAGGCTTAAAGCGACTAGACCTGTAACCAGTATCTACTTAAGGGACTAGACCTATATCCATAACCCTCAAACAAACCTTAAAGGGACTAGACCTGTAACTAGTATCAAGGCTTAAAGCGACTAGACCTGTAACCAGTTTTTTGTTTTAGTTGTGTTTATTCAACAGATTCATATACAATAATACAAAAATATGCTGCCAAGCGCCAATGGCATTACTGGCTAGCATTTATTAATTTCATCTGTAGTGAAATATCTTAAAAATAAAAAACATAGATGTGTGTGCTTAATTGCATGATTTATCCTGGAGTTTGCCACATTCTACCCAAGACAGAAGCACTTTAAGTATCTTGATGCATTATAAAATTAATGAATTTTTTCTTTAAAATACTATCTTTTTCTAGTGACAGATCGTTTTCAAACACTAATACCTTAATTCTAACCTCTTGTCTCCGGGGTAACAGGTTCTCAAGGTTATGCTGCTCAAGGGACTCAATAAACTCATGTCGTCTTGTAGAAAGGCGCTGACAGTTAAAGATGAAATGCTTAGGCGTTTCACTCTCACCACATATACAAAGGTTATCAGAAATGCCAGTAAAATTATGCGCAAATTTTTGAGATTTGAAGTAAAGACCACATCTTATTCGGTTTAAAATGATTTCCTGTTTACGAGATAGGTTGAGTTTGGATGTGGTGTTAAAATTTTGAAAATCTTTTGTTTTCTTCCTTACCGTAGTTTTAAATATTGATATTCTGGGTATTACCCTCTCCTCTTCACTTAGTTTGTTCCATTGGTTTATTAACCTCAACACAGGGGATTTCCTTAGCCGGGCACTCGCCTTGACTGGAATTTTGAAGGGTTGGTGAGATCTTAGATCTCTGACTTGTTCATTTTTGTATTTGTCAAAAAGTTCAGTAAAGTAAGTAAAAGTAACTAGTATCAATTTAACATTAAAGGGACGAGACCAATGACCATCTATCACAGCTTAAAGGGACTAGATCTGTAACCATGTATCAAGGCTTAAAGCGACTAGACCTGTAACCAGTATCTACCTAAGGGACTAGACCTATATCCATAACCCTCAAACAAACCTTAAATGAACAAGACCTGTAACTAGTATCAATTTAACATTAAAGGGACGAGACCAATGACCATCTATCACAGCTTAAAGGGACTAGACCTGTAACCATGTATCAAGGCTTAAAGCGACTAGACCTGTAACCAGTATCTACCTAAGGGATTAGACCTATAACCACAACCCTCAAACGATCCTTAAAGGGACTAGGCCTGTAATCTTATATTTGGGAAAGGGTTGATGTTATGCAGTAGCCAAAGCTTTAACATGATATGTGTGCAGCGATACCAAATTAATTAATTCAGCAGTATCAAGGTAAATATAATCAGCCCAAAAGTGTCATATTCACTGACTTCTTTGTCATATATTATCCGCCAGACTACTTTTTTAATAATGTTGAAAATAGCTTCAATATAGGCTTGGACCACACAATATATACCAATTATATGAAAGGGAGTGTACTAAAAAAGATAAAAAGATAAAAATGAACTCCCGTAAAGTGTTATTAATATGGCATGAATCCTCTTATCCCCCTTTTCCCTATTCCCCAGGAATGTTGGGGGAGCAGTGAACTTTTCACTCATTAACTTTACTGTAGCTCAAACTAGTATTATTTCCAAATGTGCCAATGTTACTGCACTCTGCCTACCTTAAACAGGCAATCCATTTATCAAAATAAATTAATCATCCTGGATGAGAACCTGAAACCTGATGAGGCTTGGTAGTAACTAGTGATGAGATGTAGCTCCAGAGACCCATCAACCATAGTAACAAATATAAAAACAAAGCTAATTATTCCAACATTTAATTCAATGCATTGAATGATATGAATGTCCAGTGTTGTCTAATAAAAACATTCAATATTGTCAAATTTGGTAATTTCCTCCATGTTGCTGAAAGTATTTTAAGAATACATTCAGCACAGATATTTGCAATAATCTATAAGCAACACAACTTGTCTAATCCAAATGCTTCTGGGGCCAGCTGAAAGGTGTTCACATTTCAAGGTTTCTTTAACAATGGGAGCAAAACTGAGCAAAACTGATCACCTCAAGGGGTGTTCAGATCAGAGAAGTGTTCAGATATACAAGCTTTACTGTGAAATACATTTCATCAAGTACTTCTCATGAAAGAAATGACTTTAACCATGTTCATGTCATGTGTTTCAGCTCTCTCTTGGCATCTCTAAAATGACTGGTCTCAACGATGACCTCGGCCTCAGCCTCCTCTATGTTGCCTGTACACCAGGGGGTGGTATGGGATTTGTGCTTGTTAGCGTTATGCGGGGAGACATTCCCGTCAGTGTAACTCTCAACTTCTTCACTATCATCTTTACATTAGGTAAGTTTCACTGTCTCTCTTAAGCTCATACAGATTCACATGGAAGACTCCTAAGTAAAGTGAAACAAGTTCGTTTTCATTAAGTCAAACCTAGCTAGATTTGTATACACTAATATCAGCATTAGCATACCTTTCACATGCCAACACAGGCAATCAGAGCCTTATTGATTTTCACAGTATCATTTTAGATCAATGTCACTGAAACACATACACCAAGCATGTAGATTTAATCTGATGATATTTTATGAGATAACAATGTGTTAAATAATATATTACCGTAAATATATCTGATCATAATTGCAAATATAAAATCACTAATGCAGCACCTGATCATGAAACATGCTCAGGTTATATAAACCAATAAACCTATAATAAAACAATGTAAATCTACATTGTTATAAAGGATTGGGACAAATGATATCACTATTGATTCTCCATGGTGCCTGGTATAACAATATTCAAAAGAAAAATGGATTTGTTACACTCATCAGACAATCGCCAAAGTTTGCAGCAAGACCCAAGTTCAAGGACATCATTTGATGTTAATGAAAAGATCAGTCAAAAAATATTTCAAACCAGAAGTCATTATTTGGGCATTTTAGATGAAGTTTCGTATCGATGCAACATATTCTTGAATCCAAACATAGTCACTCAGACATATATGCATTTCATTTGGTAAAATCCATGAAATAATTCGTGATTTCATTCCATAATTTTTGAGCCAGTCATACTCCATGTAATCAATCAGCATGTAAGACTCTGATTTGGTCATGGAAAATGGCTGTTCTATCACAATCAACCAGTCAAGCATAAAATGGAACCACTCCACTAATGTCCATTTAATGCATTAAAGGCTACCCAAGAGATGATGAAATTCATCCTTTATTGGACTGCAGCTTTGACCAAATTAAGATACATTGCTTGAGTCATTCATGATGGTAGAAATTATGAATCGAATCTCCCCAACTCAGTCTCCCCAACTATAAAGTGTGAGAATTTGAAGAGGCATTAATCTGAAAACATATTTGGACTCTATGAAAAATGACGAAAATCATGAAAAATAGACATTTTCAATGAATTTTTATCTGAAATTTTGCACCCACTTCATAATAAAAACCTGGAGAGAATGCTTTCACTCAGTATGCATAGTGTACCTGACCCTCTTCGCTCTAGTCACTTGTCTATCATCAATTCTCTCAATTTCAATATATATGGTAAATAGGTTAATATCGCCTCATCCAGGGCTAGTCGTCTACATTGCTTTGATTTAGAGACTAATCTGCAACCTGGGACACAATTTCTCAACTATTCTAATTAAACGCAAACTGTAGATAAATTGATAAACTGTATTTTTCGAGATCATTTATTATGGTGAAGCAAGTTCTAAGAGCTAGCTGACAGTAAAATTGCATAGAAGTCATAAATTGTATGTAATTTGCCCATTACGGTGCAGCCAACAAAGTCTATTATTGCCACAGAGAGATTATATTACAGCCATATTCCTAAAGTTTTTGTTACGTGTTATTATTTACATACCAATCTTCAATGTGATAATGGTACTTAAATGCCATGAGGGAGGGGGATATTGGACATGTTTCTTTTCACGTTAGATTATGATTTGGGATTGTTGGGGTTTGTTTTCTTTATGAATGATGTGCTCATAGATGTTTTATTTTTCTTGCTGTATTCTGTAACAATTTTGGTCTTTTTCCTTTGGCATTTGTGCATACATATTTTGATTAATAAAACAAGAAAATTGAAAAAGGATGTTTATTGATTTCAGATTGGTCAACTTAACATGTATATATTATGATAAACCAAGTGCAAAAGGCAACATCTGAAGGAACCAATCAAACCTCAGTTAAACATATTTAAATTTCTAAATGACAAACAAAGCCACTTCAGTAAAGTGCAAAAATAATATGCTGGGATCTTGAAAGCCCATGGATGGATGATACATGTATACAACATTACTTTTTTAAAAAGATTAACCCACAATGTGTAAACGCAAAGAGCATTGTCTCAAATATTGACTTTTTTCCTTCAATGTGTATTTAAGATATTTCTAGAAAATGAAGTTTATGTACCTAAGTTATCATTGTAATTACAAGTTAACACATGTTTTTATATTGCAGGTACAGCTCCATTGTGGATATTTGTGTTAGGCCGATTCTTCCACTCAGCCCCAGACAGTGACTTTCTAGTTGCCCTGTATAACATAGAGTTATGGCTGGCAGCTATCGTTATCTCATATTTCATAGGAATGGCGATCAGGCGGTGTCGCCCTGGAGTTGCTGATGCTATCCTCAACTGGCTTATCAAGCCATTGTTGCTGTTATTCTGTATACTGTTCTTCACACTAGGGATTTACATCAACATGTACATGTTTGAGTTTGTCAGGACTGAGGTATTAGTGGCCGCCGCATTGTTACCATTCTGTGGATACTTGGTTAGTGGGGTATTATCTCTGATATCAAAACAGCCAGGGGTATACTGTAAAACTATCGGCACAGAGATGACTGTGTTCAATTGTATGCTCGTTCTTGTCATCATTCGATTCTCATTTGAACAGCCTGATGCCGATATAGCCGCTGCAATGCCAATTTGGGTGATGTTCCTCACGCCCACACCATTTCTTTTTGTATTCCTATTGACAATTCTCCACAAATGCATCGGGAAGAAATGCGAAAAAAGACGGGAGAAAAAATATCGTCATTTTAGTATCATGTCTAGCTTAGTAAATATCACACAAGTTTCAACCATCTCAAGTCCCAAGCAACATGAAGGAGAGACTGAGCATATAGACTCAGATGATATGGATAAACTTGAGAATCTAATGGATGGAAAAAGAAATTGTAGGAATAGCCGTGACAGAACAACAACTTTATAGCATACAAAAAGAACTATGATAGAAATGAGAAGTTAAAAAGGCCAAATGTAGTTACATCACAAGTAACTCTTATATACTTGGAGCATATTGCTTCTAAAATGGATTCAAAATAGGATGAAGAAATACAGTTATATACATAAAGATATTGCACATATATACAATTGGATAAGTCTTATTAATATAACCAGCATATAAGGATATATCAACCAAGGTGTCTGTGCACAGCCATCTTTATAAATCATCTCAGTGTTATATAACCAGCGGATGTCAGCACATTATTAAATTCATTTAATATTACATGTGTATATTATAATATATAAATGGATATATAAAATACAGTTTCAAGATATGAGCTTTAGGTATTCGCAAACTTCTGAGAAGCTGATGCTACAGATACAGTATTAATTCTGTAATTTGGTAAAATTACATATGAATTTGACTACGAAATTGGACACTTTACAATACAGTCCCATATGGCTATATGGTAGATCAGTCTTTTTGCCTATGAACATTCTAAATATCCTCCAAAACAGCTTGAAAAAATAACTCTTGCATACATTTTTTATTAATTTATTGAATAATTTTTACATTTTGTAATTGTGACAAGGTGTGCCAAAATTGTTGTACACCTCAGTCCAAGTGTGACAAGGAGTGCCAAAATTGTTGTACACCACAGTCCAAGTGTGACAAGGTGTGCCACAATTAGTGTACACCTCAGTACAAGTGTGACAAGGTGTGCCATAATTGTTATACACCACAGTCCAAGTATGGCAAGGTGTGCCATAATTACTGTATACCTCAGTCCAAGTGTGACAAGGTGTGCCATAATTGTTGTACACCTCAGTCCAAGTGTGACAAGGTGTGTCATAATTGCTGTACACCTCAGTCCAAGTGTGACAAGGTGTGTCATAATTGTTGTACACCTCAGTCCAAGTTTGACAAGGTGTGCCATAATTGTTGTACACCTCAGTCTAAGTGTGACAAGGAGAGCCATAATTGTTGTACACCTCAGTCTAAATGTGACAAGGTGTGCCATAATTGTTGTACACCTCAGTTCAAATGTGAAAAAGGACAAGTTGCCATGTTGTTTCCTCTACATTATGCTGAAAAATGTAGATCTAAATGAACAGACCATGGACATCCTATTCTGAATATATAATTGTAGCGTCAAACCATTGCCTAAGAAACTGTAAGTTATTATTAAACTTATGATTTGCTCAATATATAGTTAAGATTTTTTAATATGATGATAGTATTAACTAGCTTATTTAAGATGTCACATAAACTGTGACATCATGAACATTTCATTTTTAATCATTTATATCACCCAATGTAATGAGATGAAATATAAATATGAAGTTGAATGAGATGGAAATACATGTAACTGAATTTGAGTAGAACGCATCAATGAGTCTGTAGTCATCATTCACACTTATTTACTTGTTTATGCCTATAAAACGAGAATGGTTTCTATAGTAATAACAACACAATAATGCAGTTTGACATTTTTATCTTGCATCCCTAATTGGCTGTTTTTAGAAAATTTAAAACCTGTAGGGGCCTTAAGGAATTCCAAAGTGAATTATTAAAGACAAGTTGAGTAGAGGAAAATAAATGAGCCTCCTTAAACTTGATAACAACCCTATTGGGCCTCAATAGGACCAATATGTTGAAGTTCAACAGAAATTAGTATATCATCTCCATTTCCTAAAGATAAAAAGCCATTTACTTGATATTAGAAATAATCTAAATAGATCCCAGTAGAAACAATCGTTATTCAAATTTCAGTCAGAGTGATAACGTACTTGAAATCGACATTCGCCAAAACTACTTTTGCAGTGTTCTCCACAGGAATTTTTCTCAACTGGGTGCAAAATTCTCATTTTCAAAATACAGACAAAAATTGGTGAAAATATGCCAATTTTCATGATTTTTCTCATTTTCAAGTGGGTGCAAATGGATTTTAAGGTGGGTGCAAGCCAGTGTTTTTCAAATCTCAGGTGGGTGCTGCACCAACTTGATTTAATGCTGTCTTGTGTCCAAAAGCTAATCAGTTCTTGATATTATACCAAGTAGCATCCCTGGAAATGCAAAGTTAAAAATGTGAGACACTGTCACTTGCCAAGCTAACAACTGTACCATATTTTGGGTATAGTAAAAATGTTTTGAAAATTGTTTATCAAATGATAGCAGATTCCCAATAGACCATATGTTATAAATAAGTTTTACTTACACAGATGACATTTCTATTTCCTAATGATTATATTTATCATACTCAAAAAATCGTATTAATTTGATTTGAGCGTAAGGGAACAGTTTATATGTTTTAATTTTGTCATACTCAAGTTAGACCCCTTATACTATCGTGATGCTGAAACTTGTCTATTAACCTTTGAGAACCTAACATATCACCATCTTTCAATACAAAGTGAATTACAAAAACCAAAAATGTATTGTATATTTAGAGATACAATATATAATACAACAGAAATTTCATTAGATGCAAATCTATGATACCTAATTTAGCACATATAAATTCTAAGATTCAATCCACTAGAATTCAAATGCCCTGTCATGTGTGATATGTAAATCTCATTCAAAGACAAAATTTACATCAAGCTAATTGGCATATTCTGCCATGGGATTTCAAGAGAAAGTCCATGATTCTGCTAAAGCTGCAAAATGAACAGAACAGAAATGACACAGATCACATTACAGATCCAATAAGTTTATTACATTAGCATAAAGTGTGTATAGAGGTGTGTATTAGAACAATAGGCCGCTAGCAGATTTTCATACCTCAATACCCCGCAATACTATCAAGAGTGAATCTAAATCCCTGGTTACCATGGTGACTGCATCTCACTAGATGAATATATCCGATACGAGAAATTAAGGAAAGTACTACATCTCAAAGCACTCTCATAATATCAAGTAATATCAACGATATTATTTTATGTCAATGTCCTTACGTAAACCATCTGTGATTGAGAAATAGAGGGAGGGGAAGAGAGGAAGAAGGGATGGGGCATCATAAATGAGATCTTTATACTGTAAAGAGGTTAATTATACTTGTATGTACAGGGTGTCAAAAAACAACAGCATTCCCCTCTACAGCTAGTACTGAATGTTAAATGCTTTTTGACACCCTGTATACATGTATATTCAGCTTGTTAAAATTCTAATGAACTTTTACATATCGTAAAATGATCAAAGATTTAGATGAAAAAATTGAAATACTAGGAAACTCATATGGCATGATGTGTGTGAATTCAAGTTATTGTAGAGTAGGATTTTTCTAGCATATACTGTACATATATATCACACAAATGAATTCCATATATTATATAATATACATTTTCACTTATGCTATTCCATCATTTTTTGTTTTATATCATTTTGGTGTTGTAAACTTCAAATCTAAGCTATTATGTTTGCAACTTATTACAGTTGTATCATCATAAATTGTTACCAATGATTAAATAAATTACACTTTTCTTAAAAATTTGTTTTTCTTATCTCTGGTATCTCATACCGAAATAATAGCACGTAAGGCCCAAAAAGAAGAGCATTTCAATATGAAATGAGGATTTGTATAGATGCAAGATCACATTTGGCCTGTTTGGGGTACTACCTGGTATATCAAAAAATATATAAAAATTGCATCATGTTCCTACATGATAGAGGATTCAAAATAAAAGTTTTTGGTATTTTCAGATCAATCTTTTAAAAGATTCTTGCATGTTTTTTCATCTATTATATTGGATAAGATTAATTAAAAGCATAATCCCTATCATAAAGAACAATGCGTACCAATACAGGCACAATATTAGGCATAATGTTGGCCTATCATGGTTTTGCAGACTGGGTGGTCAATACAAACACCCTTATCACATCAACTGTCTACTTCATCAACCTCTGCAGCATTACTATTTTTAACAGTTTCATTGATTAGAATATCACTATTAGATATATTCACCTCCTTCCTCAGGCACGCAATCTCAAAATATTTCCAGTTGCCCTGTAAATGGTAAATCTCCTTTGCTTAATATGGCATGTCAGCTCTCACAAAAAATTGAATGAAATGCTGATTGCTGTATTTAGAGTAATGACATAAAATGATTCTACTTAGATGTACTGAAAGTGTATAATCAACATGGTATTTCAGATACTATAGTCTCTGCATTTTTCTATAGACAATCATGAAATATTCTCTAAAAATAAGAAAACAATGTAGTTACAATATTATATTATGCACTAAAGGTAAAATAGGTAAAGAATGTATATCTCGAACAATTCTTTGAAGAACATAAGTGTTATTATTGTGGTGGTGTAAATAAAAAAACTATGACATCCCTTCACATTTTAGCTCATTTTTAAATGAAAAAAATGATTTTAGAATATCAACTTTCAATTCAGTTTTTCAGTATCAAGTTTTCTTTTCAGAAACAATTTGTTGATCTAACTACTAAAATTGTATTCTTTCACTGTATCTTTATATATCTATTCACAGATAACCATGCATATAACCATTTCCCTTTGACTTGTTACAAAGAATGCATGCCAAATGTATATTTTCCTTACAGACAAAAAGACAAACTTCCTGATAAATATAGAAAAACACACCAGGTTCATTGATTCCAAAATAAAAATATAACCAGAACAACGGCAACGCCAAAGCGTAGCGAATCCCATCGAACAGAAATGGCTGGCATTTTTACAAACGAATAGCAAATATCATAAAACAACACACCAGAAAGGCCACCATTTTCAAAATGGTTGCTCACTAGCCAAGTTGTCATCAGAAGAAATAATGTGCTTTTAAGTAGCCACCTCTAAAATTTTTGAAAAATCGCACACGTACTTGTAAAATAACACACATAAAAATGGTGGCCATTTTTCAAAATGGCCGACTACTCCCCAAAGTTTTATTAGACAATGTGCCATGCTTAAAGTATTCACATATCAAATATGAACAAAATCGCTCCACTACTTTTCGAGTTATAGTAAAATACGTTAAAATGGCAGCCATTTTTCAAAATGGCCACTGTCTACCAAAAATGTCATTAGAAATAGACAGTGTGCCATGCTTATAGTATTCACATACTAAATATGAACAAAATCACTCCACTACTTTTCGAGTTATAGTAAAATTCATTAAAATGACGGCCATTTTTCAAAAAATTTTTCAAAATGGCCGCCTTCTACCAAAAGTGTCATAGGACAGTGTGCCATGCTTATAGTATTCACATACCAAATATGAACAAAATCGCTCCACTACTTTTTCGAGTTATAGTAAAATACATTAAAATGGTGGCCATTTTTCAAAAATTTTTTCAAAACGGCCGCCTTCTACCAAAAGTGTCTTTAGACAGTGTGCAATGCTTATAGTATTCACATACCAAATATGAACAAAATCGCTCCACTATTTTTTGAGTTATAGCAAAAATCGTAAAATGATGAGTAAAGGCCGCCATTTTTCAAGATGGCTGCCATGTGCTTCTTTAATATCTACATTTGTAGCATTATTAATGTCCTTTATAATTTTTTTACATTTAAAACATATTGCTATTACAGTTTTACATATTACACCTAAATTACTGTAAAATCGGCACTAAAATGGCCGCCATTTTGAAATGAGCGGC